CTTGCGGCCCAGCGCCCCAAGCCCGCTGCCGACCGTTGCCCCGCCCTGCCCTCACGCCGTTGCGGCGCTCGTCTTCGCCACCGTCGTCGGCTTGCGGGCGTCGGCGTCGTGTTCGTCGTGGTCGTAGTCGTGGTCGTCGTCGTGATCGTCGTCGTCGTCGTTGTTTCTCTGTTCCTTATTATTGTCTTCTTTCTCCCTCTCTCGTCCTCACGCCTGCTTCTTCTCCTGCTGCCTCCCGACTCTCTCCTTTTGGCTAGTACGGCTGAGAAGTTCCAGGCGTTTCTCGGAGGAGCTGGCTGGACGCCCGAGCCGTGGCACCCCGACCTTCGACGACTTGAACTCGCTGCCGTCGCCTTTTGCCCCGCCTTCCCGCAGATGCGGGCTGGCTGCTGAGCGCTCGCGCGGCCCCCGCGGAGTTATCCGCGAACGGTACGGCCGTTTGCAACGGCTGGTACCGAGAGGGCCTGGCACGGACTTTCGGAGAGGCTCGGCCAGGCGTCGAGACGGGCCACGCTCTGGCTTCGTGGTGTTCGTTCTGAAGCACGTCACGTCGACTCCCAGTCGGTCAGATGTCGCTGAGGCGGTTGAGCGAGAGTCTCCCCTCGGGGCGCTGCCTCTGGCAAAACGCCGTGGCAGATGCCCCCCCCCACCGAGGCGGCCGTTGCTCCCGCGAGGGCCCCTGCTGAGGACCCAGCGCGAGTGAACCGAGTGATTGGGCGCTGCAGTACGCTGGGGGGCCTCCGGGTCGACCCTTGACGCGGTGGAGGCTGCCAGGAGGTGACCAAGGGCTTGGCAGGCCGCCGTGTTCGCCCCTAACGCACGCGACCGCCCGCGGCGGCACGAGCTGCGGCGGGCAGCCAGCGCGCTGCCTGCGACGGTGGTGCGCTGGGATCGGCATGGCGGTCGTCCGCGCGCTCGCCGACACGGTCGACATTGCGAGAAGGGAGCACGTGGAGCACTGAAGCAGTAGAGTCACAAGCAGGAGCAGAGTTGAACTTCCCTTGTCGCAAGCTGCGGGTGCCAGCGCCGTCGCACGTCCGACCTGCCTGACGTGGCGTTGCACGCCCGGCAGGCGGCCTTCTCGCACCCCTGCGGGCGGTCAAATGCTCCCGAGAGATCCGATGCATTGTTGTTATCAGTACGGGATCCCCAGAAGTGCCGACCCAGCGTTGCACCCTGGGTCGTTTTCTGAAGGTACTGGGGCGCGGCGAGAACCCCGAGAATGTTTAAACGACGAAACAAATGATCCAAATTCAGTTTTCGAATGCGTTAGAGGTCTGGGTTCCCGGGAGCGCGCGCGCCGGGCGGCTCGCCGACGGTCGATGGACAGGGAGCATTTTGCGGGCCGTTGGCGCGCGGGGCTGGGGTCAGTCAGTATCGATTAAGCCACATTGGCAGTGGGATCTCAGCCCCACCATCTCACCTCAGTTGTTGAGGATACGCCCCTCGAAATCCGAAGGAAACAGCCTCTGGACTCTATACCCATCTAGGGGGGTAACTCTGCCAGTGGGGCCCAGCCCGCGCCAGTGGGGACAGGGGTCCGTGAAAGCATGCTCTGTGTGGGCTGCCGAGCCCCTCCGCGCGGCGTGCGCGGCCCGCGCTCGTCCTCGGCACGCCGACTGGGCGCCCGCCGAGCGGGCGCTCTCTGCGGGTGTCCCGTTCGCCCCTGACCTCCAACGTAATGGAACACTGAATACGGAGGTGTTTCGTGGTTTTCGACCTCTGGGAGCCTTCGCCAGGCTCTTGGGACCGTCTGACAACGGTTGGGGATGCAAAGCTGGCCCTGGGGAAGAGGCCGTGACTTCTCTGCGGCAGACATCGTACGTCTGCGAGTTCATCTTCCTTCTCCTTCTCCTTCTCCTCCTCCTCCTCCTCCTTAACCTTCTCCTTTGCGGGAGGGGGGGAAGAGACGTACTGGTTGCTGGGATCCTCACCATTGACGGTGTCTAGGACGAGGGGGCGGGGTAGTGGTCGCCGGTTTCGTGCGAAACGAAAGCCGTGTCCATAGAGAACGTGTCTCTCTGCGCTCGTGTCGCCTGTCATTGCCAGGCAAGGGTCTGGGCAGGCAGCTCTGGTGGTCAGAACAAGCCCCAGGTCAGGTACGCGAGTCATTTTTCCAGAGACCCGCTCTAGGAGTTCTTTGGTGGCCTTGCAGTTCGCCTTCTGCTCGTCCATGTACTGATGAGCCATTTCGGACAACATGTCGAAAGTGGCTCGGCCTTGTATGCGCGGGCGGAGCCGGCTCCAAGCCGCCGCCCGAAGAGGATCCAGCCGAATCCTATGGTGACGCAAGCTGGCCGGCTCCGATCCGGCTCCGTTTGCCGTTGTCGTCGTACTGCTGGTACCAATCCGGCCGCCGGTACCAATCCAGCCGTTAGTACGGTTGAAGCCTCCAATTGTTGATTCTTGCTCCCCATCGGAGTTCGAAATGGGCACTCGCCGCCCCAATGCCCCGGACGGAAGCATATGCGGCAAGTCTCACGGTATAGCGCGTTTGACTGCCAAGCCGTGGGTTTGTTGGATGAACAGGTGTCCGCAGAGTGTTGCAATTTACAGGTCTTCCCCAAACGGCAGCATCCACAGGCGAGACGAGCACGGAATACATCCGTCGTTGGTGTCGTCTTTTCCCTTACTTTTGGTGGTCTCTCTAGCTTTACAGTTGCGACTGCCTCGCCAGCGAGGACGCCGCTGGGTGGGGCAGGCCGTGCAGGTGCAACGCCAGCACAGCACCCAGCTTTAGCCTCTGCCATTTTGAGGATGGTGCCAGGGTCGTCGGGGGAATTCGTCCCCAACTTGCAGTATATTCAACTTGCTCAAGAGCTGTCGCAAATAACGCAGTACGGTGTGTTTGGACGGCCCGGAGTCAGGGGCGCGGAGGCTAGAAAACTCCGCTTGCCACACCTTGAGCGCATGTTGAAGCTGGCTCTGATCTGCGACCTGCAGAGGTGGCGCAAATTTGTCGTGCAACGTTGTGGTTCGTGCTGTGGCTGACGCCATGATGGCATCGTGAAGGGATGCTAACATGGACTAGCCGTCCGTGCAATCAACTTCTGTCCGTGCAAGCGCGCACAGTTCGAACGCTAGGCTTCTGTTGGGCATCATAAGTCGGGGCTCGCTATGCACCCAAAATGTGTCGACAGGAGGGCCATTGAGGGACTTGAGGATTGCCTCCGCGAGCCCTGGCGTCTGCAGCCCGAGCCAACCAGCCAGCGACCACCCCGACCATGGAAGGCAGCCGCGGCGCCTGCAGCAGACCTGGGAGTGCACCCGAGTGACCGCACCCTGCCCCAGAAGCTCCTTTCCGAAAAACAGCCCCTTTGGAAAGAGTGCGTCAGTGGGATGAGGAGGGAAGAGGAGGAGGAGGAGGGGGAGCAGGATCAGGGGAATGATGATGATGATGATGATGATGATGATGATGATGATGATGATGATGATGATGATGATGATGATGATGATGATGATGATGGTGATGGTGATGATGATGATGATGATGATGATGATGATGATGATGATGATGATGATGATGGTGCTCAGGGACCACCCCCTGAGCACCCCCTCTGGCGTCGAGATAGTGCCACGCCTGCCGTGACCTGCGCCATGGCCCGCATAGACGCCACGCTCAGGGACCACCCCCTGCGCACCGCCTCTGGTGTCGAGAAAGTGCCACGCCTGCCGTGCCCTGCGCCATGGCCCGCATAGACGCCGCGCTCATGGACCACCCCCTGCGCACCGCCTCTGGTGTCGAGAAAGTGCCACGCTTGCCGTTCCCTGCGCCATGGCCCACATAGCCGCCACGCTCAGGGACCACCATGCGCACCCCCTCTGTCGAGAAAGTGCCACGCCTGCCGTGATCTGCGCCATGGTCCGCACAAACGCCGCGCTCAGGGACCACCCGTTGCGCGTCCCCTCGGGTGTCGAGAAAGTGCCACGCCTGCCGCGCCCTGCGCCATAGCCCGCATAGACGCCACGCTCAGGGACCACCCCCTGCGCACCGCCTCTGGTGTCGAGAACATGCTACGCCTGCTATCCCTGGACGACCGTGCGCGTACGTTTTGGGTGTATGCTGCAGCACGCCTGCCACGCCTTGCGAATAGTGCGCGTGTGTGTTGTGTGGTTTGCGTATCATGTATGTAATGCGTGTGCGGTTGTATGTGGGCGTGTGTCTCTCGTGTGGATGCCCAGCATGTGGTGCACACGTCTTTGGCGTATCGTATGATGCAGTGAACACGCCAGGTGTGCACTATCATTGTATGGTGTGCGTGTCTGCGAGTGTGTGCATGCGTGCGGCAGTATGTAGACGCTTGTCTCACCTACGTGCCGTGCATGCGTTGCGCGTGGGTGAGGGGAGGAAGGGAGAGGAGGAGGGGAGGAGGGAGGTGAGGTGAGCTTCGCGGGTGGGACGCGGGAAGGCAGAAAACCAGAACCCCACGCACTATGTGGGGAAGAAAGCCAGATCCCCGCGAAACATGTGGGCAGCTGCGCAAGCTGCAGGATAACAGGGTGGGAGGAAACAACACGTAATGGGTGCCAGGCTGGATGTGGACGTGTGCCTCATGTGGGTGCCCAGTATGTTGTGCATACGTTTTGGGTGTCTGATGCAGTGAACACGCCAGGCGTGCACTGGCGTTGTATGGTGTGTGTATGCGAGTGTGTGCATGCGAGGGGCTGTATGTACACGCGTGTCTCATGTACATGCCGTGCACATGTAGCGCGTGGGCGAGGGAGGAAGGAAGGAGGAGGAGGGGAGATGACTGAGACGCGGGTGCGACGCGGCAAGGAAGGAAACCATAACCCCACGAAACATGTGGGGAAAAATCAACACTTTAGGAAATCACGAACCTAGCCATATAGGCCTCATTTTCCTGCAGCCTCTATCAGCGCGGACCCATCTGTGAGGGTCCTGGGGCCCGAAGCCGGGCGAAAACGCCGTGGTTGCATCGCCTGGATCTCAGGGCCGTTTTGTCCCCCCAGAGGCTGAATTGCCTTTTCTTCTTCTCGGCCTCCTTTTTGCGGGTGCCCAAGCACGCGGCCGCCCTGCGGGCGGCGCCGCGGGAGCGGCTGCTGCTGGAGACGGACAGCCCGGACCAGCTGTCCCCAGGGCTTTGCGGCGTGTGCGGGGTCGACGCCCCCCCGCCGCCAGAGCGGGAGCCCGCGAGCGGCGTGCGGCGCGACAGCGGCGGGGAGCCGTTGAACGAGCCCGCGCACCTGCCGCTGATCGCCGCGGGGGCCGGCGGGGTCGCCGGCAGCTTCATCGGCGCAAAGAGGATGTTTTCTCTCGTTGCCCAATGGGAGGGCGGCGAGTGGACAGAGACGGAGGCGGGGGAGGGAGAGGTCTGCCGGTTTTGCAGCATGGCCCGCCCATCAGCGATACGGTTGTTCAGCCAGAAGCCAGACGTCCACAGTGAACTGTGAGCAAAGGCCCTGAGCAAGACCAGCTGTACAGTTTGTAGCACCAGCCAGCAATTTACCCACCAGCAGACGCCACCGCCACATTTGATGCCTTAGTCGTCCTTGGCGCCAGAATCATGACTCGCAGGTTTCTACGGCACAGCCCTACGAGGCTCAGTCACGAGCGACGACGGGTCAGCATCAATCGTGGACCCGATTGCAGGCGAACTGCTGATCACATACCACTGAACGCAACCAGCAGAAGCAGGGCATGAAGACCCAGTGCCTCAGCAACAAGAGTGCGTCTCAGCAGTGCGAACGCACAAACATGAATCGGGCACCAGGATATTGGTGGCAGCCGCAGCAGGAAGAGCCAGCTCCACTGCAAAACAATGGTGGACAGCAGCGCGCAGATTGACTCGATGGCAGACGCACTGCCACCGACCGATCATCAGACTGACGGTGGGCATACGCTGGCTTATCCACCTCACCATTCATTGCCCCTCGTGTGGAGATCACTACTGGACAGCAGGGCAACCCACAGCCGCAAGAGTATACAATACGCACCGGAAACAGTGAGTTTCACAGTGTGCTCCACGGCACACTAACGAGAAACCAGAGCACCAGCAGAGTCGACTACAGCCAGGCACCGCCGAGCGCGACATTTCTAACATTACTCTAATGGCCTTCGGCTCATCCCGCCAGTGTGCCTGAGTTGTGGGTCAGACTTCTCAGGGGTGCTTCTTGGGTGTCTTCGCCGCAGGGCTCTCGGGGGCCTCGAGGGACAGTGTAGCGGCCTCTTGGAAGCCTCTTTGGAGCTTCTTGGGGGCCTCTTTGGGAACCTCTTGGGGACCTCTTGGGGACCTCTTGGGGCCTCTCGGGGGCCTCTTGGGGCCTCCTGGGGGCCTGCTCGGGGCTTCTTGGGGCCGAGGTCTCGAACTGTCCGTTCGGGTCCCCCGTCTGGGCCCTCTCTTGTAGCCATTTTGGGGGCCTCTTGGACCGTCTTGCAGCGTCGGAAAGCCGAACGGGCGAGAACGCCCAAATCCTGGAAAACCTGAGAAGGATGAATGATTTCAGCATCTCGGGGCCTTGTGGGGTTGCTCTTCTTCGAAGCCTCTTGGGGCGCCTTGGGCGCTTTTTCGGCCAGCTGGAGGCGTCTTGGACCGATTCTCCGGCGATTCGGGGCCCTCTTGGGCCAGCGTGAGGGCCTCTTGGGGCCCTCGTGGTCCGTCGTGCGGCCTTCTTCGGCCCGAACAAGTCATGTGGGGAGACGCGCTGGGCCCTGGGAGGCACGCTACAGGCCCTGGTGGATTTAAGAATTTGGGGTCCGTGTCCCCGAAAGAGCCCTCAGAACGTAGGCTCCAGGGGATAAGGCAAATTGCCTGGGGACACTCCAACTCGTGTGCCTCAAGGGCCCGGTGGCGGACTCGCAACATGCAGCTCCGTCGGCACCCATCCAATGAGCCACCAAACGCCGTAACACCAAGCCATCAGCTCGCGCACGAGCCAAACCGTCATTGCACCAAGGCGCCTCTGGATAGATCTCCCAGCAGATGGCAGACATTTTTCACGGCCTCCGCAACAACTCTCATCACCAGAGCGAGCGACCAACAATAAATTTGATACGCCACAAGTGAAATCTGCAGTTCCAAAGGCATGAAGCGTGTTGCAGAGAATGTTGCCACAAGCGCCAACGTCCGCAGAGACACATATCTATCTACAGCCAACGCATAGAGCGCAGCAGCAGCTAGAACAGCAGACCCACCAACTGGAGACCGCCACGGCAGCAGCGCAGGATTGTAGCAACCACCCAACTATGTTATGCGTTTTTCTTACAGCATGTAGATGGTTACAAACAATAGTGAGGCGCCCCTCGTGTCCTAAGGAGCAAGAAATCATGATGCTGATTCATTCCAAGATGGCCAGGCTTGCTTGTTGCACAGCGCGGCCAGAGACGAATGGGCGAGCACGAATTGCCGATGGCCGCTACAAACCCTAGAATTCCCAGAACGAAACCTGAGGCAATCGCACCATCACATCATTATCGTCCTACTACGCGCGTGTGTCTTGTCTCATTGCTTCGATTCCCGCTCGGTGCATATTGCATCCCGTACGGACGTGGCTCGATGCACAGGTCACGTTGCGCGCTGGTAGGCGTTGAACTCGTTCGGTGACCACTTGGGCATTCCAGAGGAAGCCAAACCAATCGACCAAACAAAGCTCCAGATGCCTGGGCCCAGGGTGGCTTTTCGCCCGTAGCCGCTCTGGCTCCCGAGCCGGCCCGGGGCAGTTGCAGAAGCAGACGCTCGAAGCGGTCCAGCTTTGGAGACCAGTGAGAGGCTGAGGTGGCCCAGCATTGGCTCAGGCCAGCCGAGGGGGGGAGAAAAGGGACCGCCTCATCGCCACGCCTGGACGCGGCTGGAAAAACTACGCAGTTTCGAGCCCGGGAGAGGTTTTGGGACCGATGTTGAGCGAATTTGCCTATCTGCCCCTCGGGACCGATATTCTTCGGGCCCATCAAATTCAGACCCCCCGATCGCCTCCGACCTGGCGCCGCCTCTGCGAACGCTCAAGCGGTCCAGCTGACGCTCCTGGAGTGGCGCCGCGAGCTGCGCGCGGAGCCTTTTTGCGCAGCGCGCCCCGTCATTGGAGGGGCGTTTGTCAGGGCCCCCTGAACGGGGACTTCTTGATGGACCAAGTCACGGGCGTGCCCGAGAAAGTTGCAGCCGTCGGTCGAAGCGTTCTCCATTCTTCGCCCTCGCCGAGAGGAATCCTCAAGGTTTTTTAAGCAATGTCCCGTTTGTTCAGGGCGCCCCGACTGTTTCCCCGAGGGTCTTCTCATGGAGGTGATAGACGCCAGCGGCGACTGTGGAGAAGCCTTGGCGTCGGCCTTGCGGATGCTCGGAGCGGTCCAGCTGAGGCTCCCGAATTGGCGCCAGGAGGTGCACGCGGAGTCGTTCCGCGTCGCGCGCCCCGCCTTGGAGGATGCGGCGGCCGGCACGGGTCCGCACCGGCTGGCGCCGGGGGCTGACTCTGCGGATGCCACAGGCACCGGTCGCACGGAAACGGATCGAGGAAGAACAGGCCGATCCAAGAAATCAGAGCAAACCTCCGAAAGATCAATTACATATGTTTCTACACGGTTGTTCTTATTCGAGCGGGGGCGCAGTCATCGACTTCACGTCGGAGTGACCCTTCGCTGGAGTGACCTCTTGAGCGGGCCCACGGGGGTCCCCCCAGCACTGGCCCGCGCGCCTGGATTTGGTGGTCCCCACGACCCCCTGAAGTCGCGCACCACGGGTCACTCTTGCTTACGATCATTCGGACGTGTAGCCGGAGTCAGCGGGATGTGACAGGCAGCGCATGCCACCTTCCTTGGGCCTGACCGATTTACCTCCCAAGGCCTGCGGAGCAGGCAGGTTCAAGCCAAGCCTGTCGAGCGATATCTCACGCCTATTCCTTCCTGTTCGAGACCAGGGGTGTGTGGGGGGCACCGATGTGGCGCTTTGGGGGGCAGCTTTGGGGCACGTTGGCGACTCGAGGTTGACCCCCCTCCCGAGGTTCGCTTCGGTCTCGCTCCGTTCGCGTCCGCCCCGAGGCACACACCCAGCTGGCGCGCTGTCGCGCTACAACGCGAGCCGAGCAGGGCTCATCTTTTCCAACGGCGAAGTGTTCGACGTCGACACCCCTGGTGCTGTTGACTGGGTAGCGTGTTCGGCGGCGCGCACAAGGGGGTGGCGCGGGGGGGGGTCCTTCCAATAAGCCTTCCATGAGGGCTTCCGAGATGCCCTTTGCCTGCTCAGAAGATCCTCCGCCCTCTCGGAAGGGTGTCCCCCTCGCGAGTCTCTTTTTATGCGCGCCGCCAACATACGGAAGGTTTGTGTCGTGTCGACGTGGCGGAAGCCCCGCCGCGGGCGTTCAAGGTTGAGCGCCGCCAGGGGCCCAGAATCGGCCACTATGAAACGATCTGGTGATCGAAAAGCCTCCGATCGTTCAGGATTGCACGATCCACGCGGTGTCTGAAACCAACGCCCAGGGTCGAGGCGACACAGACATGCTGTATACAGATCCACGGCCTCGCGATCTAGACTCTTTGGCCAGGCCCCATGGATACAGGGAGGCTCTGCGCGGGATGCCCCACGCGGAACGTGAGCGACAGAAGAGAACATGGTCGATTGAGCCGGCATTCGCGCGTAAGCTTCCCGCGCAAGGCCGCGGGTAGGCGCCCTCTTCTCCACCTGGTGTGCCACGTTGGCGGCCCGCGAAAGCCGCGGAGAAATGTCACGATGTCTTCTCTCGTGTGTCTCACGTGTCCATGGGGTCGCGCCTCGAGATCCAGGATCGCGAAGCCAGGGGCACGGGTCGTATGCTTCTCGCCCGCGAGGTGTGCCGGCGGGCGGCTTCTCGCGCCAGATGGAGGCCTTCTTCGAGGCCCAGTGCTCGCTGGCGGAGCAGGTGCTGCGCGGGCTGGAGGCGTCGCTTGGCGTCCAGCGAGGCCCACCTTCAGCCTCATCGTCGTCCACCACATCCTCTACCACCTCCACCTCCACAGTCCTCCGCATCCTCCTACCGCTCCTCGTTTCTCCTCCCTCATCCTCTTGGATCCTTCCCCTCTCCCTTCCTCCCCCTCCTCCCCCCAAACAGGAGTTCTCTAAGTATTTGGCTTGGGCTTGCAGGCCGGCCGTCGAGTTGGAGCTGGGTTCGTCTGAGCCTGCCGGTTGTCGTGTCAAGCCGCCGCCGCCCGAGCCCAGATTAGGTGACCTGATCTCTATCGCGGAACGCCCCGCCCACGAGGTCTGGCACAACCCTTGCCGAGGTGAGTGCAGGTACAGGAACTGTGGGAGCTCGGCCAGTACGCCCGTGGGGGTGCCGTTCCTCGCTTCCCGGAAGGCGCGCTCTCAGCCCACGGAACAGCAACGCTGGCAGGTTTCTCTTGTGTGCCCACTAAAATGGCGTTGGGGGCGGCCGCGAGGCTGCTTGAGGGTCGGTCCTGCTGGCTCTGAGGCAGCCTTGTTGGGGCCCTTCGGAGATTCCCGAGACCATCAGCGCGCCGCAGACCCCTCGCACGATTGCGGCGCGGGGGGCCGCCTCGGTAGCGGCAGAGTGTCCTGGGCCTTGAATGCGTTTAGTCAGGGGGGCGGGGCGTTCGGGCGACTTGAACTCATTTTCGACGTGCGTCTTTGTCTCTTTACCACCCCTCCTCCCCACCTCCCCCCGTTTTCCCCCCCCCCTCTCTTCCCCCTCTCTTCCTCCCCCTTCCCCCCGTCGTCCATCCTGCCTCCCCTCCCAGCGTCCCTGCTGTCCCTCCTCCCACCGCCCTCTCATCCGCCTCTTGCCTTCCGCCCTCTGCCTTCTTTACCCCCGCTCGTCCGCGCGCGCGTTTCGGGCCATGGCGCGCGCCCCTCCATCTGCCCGGCCCCCCTCTTCCTGGCCCTCCTTCTCCTGCTCTGCCCCCTCCTCGCCCGACGTCGACTCCGCGCCTCTCCCAGAGCGCGCTCCGACTGGGATCTCGGGCTGGCACGGCCTCGGCGACCAGGGCGCCGGGGGGTCAGAGAGCATTTGAATGCGGATGAGGGTGGCCAGAGTCAGCGCATGATGCACCAATCGACGAAAATGCATAAACAATCATTAGCGGCGTGTCGCGCGGATTTCTAGGATCGGCGCTGGTTCCCCCCGGCGGCGCCTCCGGCGGCGTCCTTGACGCGTTCCGCTCGCCAGGGGTGGGGGGGGGCGGTGCCGATCCAAGACGTCCACGCGGACCTCCGAACGTTCATGTGCATGCCGTCATCGTGTTTTTTCGAGCGACGTCGCAGTGCATTTTTGCAGGACAACAGTGCGCGACGGGATGTATAATGTCCGGCGTTTGCAGCAAAGGGCTTCGTATCGTTATCGTTTTAGACAAGGATTTATTATGGTTATTATACATGTTGTTTCCTACTGTTGTTCTAAATGTTGTTCATTCGGGACCAGATGGGTCGGCGCTTTCGGTGTTGCTAGTCGCAGTGCAGGAACAACTATGCTGCAGTACGCCCTTCCCGTCCCAAGCCCCTTTCCCACTAGTCCAACAAACATCCCTTCTCGGTGCGGGTCGTGCCCCCCCTGAAAGACGGGCGCCCCGTTGCCATGCCATTCGAACGACGGTCCCGTGTCCGTCTTCACCGTTTCGGGCCACGAGGTCTGTACATGTCCTCTTCCCCTGGCCAGGCCCATCCTGGGCCCAAGGTCGGCATATGTACCCCCTTGGTTTGGCCAGCGGGAAGTGCACGCAGTTGCTGGGCCTCGGGAGGGTTTGCCCAGCGGCGGTGAGTATCGAAGACGCCTACGGCGAATCACCGCCGCCCCCTGCCTTTGTGGAAGCGCCTATGTGGCCGAACGTTGAGGCCAGACCTGCCAAGCCATCGGACCATGTGTTCCCCGAATCGGTTTGGAAAGCCTTCGGGGAACACGTGGGCGTCTTGATGGTCATCGTCGCCGTCTTGGAGGCCTCTTGGGCGATCTTTCGGCGATCTTTGGGGGCTCTTGGGCCGTCTCGGGCCGTCGGAAGGCCGAAAAAAGGGAAATGCCCAAATCCATCAAAAACCTTGGAAAAAAAAAGTGATTTTGGCATCTTTTGGCCTTCCTGGAGGCCCTCTTGGGGGCCTCTTGGGCCCTTCTGGGCCAGCTTCGAGCCAACTTCGGCCATCTTGGTGGGTTCCTGGCACGTCTGACGCCGTCGGGAGCCGTTTTGGGGGCCTTTCTGGGCCAACGGGGTACCCTCTTGGGGCGCTCCAGGGCCGTCTTGGAGGCCATCTTGGGCGTCTGGGAGGCCATCTTGGGCGTGTTGGAGGCCTCTTGGGCCCTCTTGGGGCCCTCTAGGGGCCATCTTGGAGGCCACTTGGGCCATCATGGGGCTCTCTTGGGGGCCTCTTGGGCGATCTTGAGGGCTTCTTGGGCCGTCTCGAGCCGTCGGAGAGCCGAAAAGGCGCAAATGCCAGAATCCTTCAAAAACCAAGGAAAAATCACTGATTTTGGCCTCTTCGGACTCTCCTGGAGGACCTCTTGGAGGCCTCTTGGGCCGTCTGGGAGGCCTCTGGGGGGCCTCTTGGGCCGTCTTGGGCCGTCTTGGACTCTCTTGGGCCGTTTTGGAGGCCGTCTTGGACCATCTCGGGCGGACTTGGAGGCCATCTTGGGCCATCTTCGCGATTTTTTGAGGATGTCCCGAGCGAAACGGCCGTTTTTGGAGGATGAGCACGTTTGGGGATTTTCCGGGTGGCCGGCGGGTTCTGCCGGAGCCCACTGGGGAGTTCTTTTGGAAAAAGAACCAAAACCAAAACCTAACAGCTCATCCAGCACGCCGTGCACCCCTGCAAGCAGGGGGCGGCGGATCCAGCTGCCTGCGGCAAATCCCGCCACCGTGCCAGCCAAGCTGTCTGTATTGGAAAAAAAACACGGGAATGCGTCACGTGCGACATCTCGCGTCCCCATGCTTGAGTAAACCGTGATGAGGATGTTGAGAATTGAGAGGATGGTAGGGGTGATGGCGATGATGACGATGAGTATGATTGTTGTTGTGGTGATGCTCATTGTGATTGACCTGAGTTTGACATCCCCCCCTGGCCCACTTCTGACCCACAGCGTCGTCGCAGCTGTTGGGGGCTGGCTCAAGTGAAAAAAGTATCGTCCCGCCCGCCCGGCTCGCGCGCCCTCCCGGGCGCCCTCCCCCGGCCGGCCGGCCCTTCTCCGATTTGGCTGCTAGCTCGAAGCTTAACGGGCACCCTACCACATTCATTTCGCCATGCCATGGAGGGAGACATCATTTTCGCTGAAGGTAAACCTGAGTAAGAGACTGATGCAGGAAGAACATGAGGATGAATGGTTACACTGTGAACATGAGCAGATTTTGCCTATCAACACGGTCAAATATTAGTCCCTATCAGCAAAGAGTGGGCAACATATGGGCTATCAACCGAAAGTTTTGTCTTCGACCAAAGTGGTTCTACCAGATTGGGAGATTATGTTCCTCCCATGTGCGCCCCGAAGAGAAGCCATGAGACGAGCGCGGGCGTTCCTGAACATGGTTCCAGGGACGACGTCGGGCAATCAAGCCAACATCCCTCCACCAACATACCCTGGAACTTCTTGTGCGCTGATGGGCCTCGTCCTGGCACTCCGAGGATCAAGGGCGCCACTCGACGCAACCGAGGCGGAGATTATGAAGTGGACCTTCTGCCGCTCGACGATCAAGCGGACGTTTCCGATCACCTCTTGGGTGACGACCACGACGTGGAGACCATATCATCAGAGGAAAATTGCGCACGTAGATCAACGTCCAAGCCGATTGGTTTCCATGATGATCAGGAGCCGTACGATAAGGGGCGGGAGGTCTATGGCCGAACGTCTCCTGCCCCGCTGGGTGACTTAAAACAACCCCACGTGCAGGCGCCGTCCATGCGCGGCGAGGATACCGCGATCCCATCATATGACTCTCTGGAACGGCACTTGTAGGATATCATAGATGAGGAGTTCGTGGGCGGCCCCGTGCGGATGAGGAGCAAACAGATACGTGAGTCTATGAGCCTTTCGACTACCTCGCCTCGTGGGAAGCGAAGTAGGTCTGGCGATATCCCGGGGCGCCACCCAATGTCCGTTCCGGGGGGACCTAAGGCGGATTTCGATGCTTGAATCGCTTGATTTGCGCACCCGCCCCCCCCGCAAGAGAAGCGCCGAGAGGCGGGCCCAGGGCCCCACGACCGCGATCCGAGGTATCTGAATTGTCTAACTTATCCGGAAGATCGAGTACCTTCAGCATGCGGATCAATGCCAAGTGTGCCAAGTATGGACCAAAGTGCGCTGTGGTGCCAGAGTCGCGGTGCCCCGGCCTATTGGGTCAGTGTAAGAAGCCCGTCTGTTTCGGGTGCTCCGGTATCTATTGCCTCTGCGACCTGGACATCCCGTGCCCGACGCGCGCGGCCCCCGGTTCGCATAACTGCGCCGGGCGACGCGAAAATTGGGGGCGCGAAGCTGAAGAGAGGAAGAGGTTTGAGATCACGGGGGCCAAGGGGGAGAGGTCTGGCCGGAATGCGCGAGCCGCTGAGGCGATCGGAACTTTAGCAGCGAGAGGCTGCCGCCCTCCGAGGCAATGGCGCATGCCGTGCGCCCCCTGGAAGAGCGCCAACATGCGGCGGCGGCCCATCGGGCTTTTGCCGCGACAGAGGAGATGAGGGGGCTCGTCGATAGGCTCGAGCACGCCGTCGCCTCCGAGCGCCGAGCACAGATTCAGGAGAAACACTTCGCAGAAGGTGCAAGGCGCGCCGTCCGGGGGGCCAGTGGAGCTCAGCGGGCGACGGCGACGCAGGCCGCCAAGGAGTTTAACCAGCAGAGGAAGGGAATGCGCAACCAGCAGCAGAGGCTGCCGCTGCCATGCAGCAGGCCGAGACGAAGCGATTCGTTGCGGATGAGAGTTGCGCTCGATTCGAGGCCGATATGCTACGCGCTCGCGAGGAAACGCGGCGATTC